AGCCTCGCTATGCTGAGAATCCCGGGCCTAGGATCGCAGGATCACAGGATTGCTGAGAATTCAGCAATCACTCGGGATATGAGGTCGCAGGTCGAGTGAATACTCGTAGCTCGCAGGCTCGCAAGTCCGCAGGTATACGAGATTTCGTCCCTTTGGGTTTGGCAGATCAGGAGAAGCTCAGCCCAGCTTCGCGCTTCGCGAGCTGAAACCACACCGCGCTTGGCGTCATCCTGGCGTAATGGGTGTCACTCAATGGGATCGGCAGCTAGCTCACGGCACGCAGTGGCAGCGGGGAGAGCAGGTGATCTTCGTCGAGGCGTTCGTTGAGGACAGACATTGCGTTGAACAAGACAGCAAGTCAACGAGACAGAGAGAAGTCGAGAGACCCAGACAGAGACACTCAGATGCGAGCATCATTGACGCACACGCTGATCGACATAGACACAAACACAAACAACCGCTGAGTCGAGTGGCGAGGCCGGCTCGCGGCCGTCACCACTGCGGCCGTGATGATCGGAGTGTCGGAGACTCCACGCCATGCATCATGCTTCGGACGAGCCCGTCCGCCGACCCGCCGTCCGCTATCCGCGTCCGCACCACCAGGTCGAGCACACCATTCTATTCTCTCTTGCAAGGCAGTTCCCAACTTTTCTTATCTCCACGAACGCCCAGTTTGTTCAGCCAGTCAGCGCCGCCATCCCAGCCTGCGTCTGCGTCATGCCCAGGGCTGTCGTGTGCCTGGATCAAGGGTCCGGCAGGGCGGAGAAGAAATGGTGAAAAAGGCACGGCAGCCCTCGGCCGAGAGCACTGAACCGAATTGCAGAACAAGAGTGTACGTCGCTCCCAACTCCTATGTTCCCTTATGCAGGTCGACTAGGTCCACGGCCGCGCAGACGGTACCAGGCAGCAAGAGACGCGTGTTTGGTGTGTCACCTATGATCGGTAGCGAGCGCTCGCTACCATGTGCCCCTAATGGCCTATGTGGCCAGACAGAGCACACGCGGCTTCCGTGCAGATGCACGCTACGCACGAATGAAACGAGGCAGATGGCGTGTGGCCACATGATCGCTGATCACTAGGCCCGAGGCACCATACTCCATTGAGTGTCAGGCTTCGCGACACTCCGATCTGACCGCTGACCTCCTCGAGTCAGAGAGAGGCTGCAGATGCAGATCAGCCAGACGCCAGAAGTAGCAAGGAGCGCAGCCGACGAATCATGCACATGCCCAAGCGACTAAATTCAGCTCTTTGCTTAGCGAGCGCTGATAGCAGGGAGAGACATCGGATAAGGCCAAGGAACCCGATTCATCGAGCTGAGGCTGGCTCAATGGCGATTGAGTGTCTTTGATTCGGACAACTGCCTTGCTCTGCTGTATCGAATTTTTTACCTCCGCAGTTTGCCCATTGTCTCGCATCTTTTATCGATTTTTGCATGCGTATTTCAGAGACATAACCCAGATCGAATATGGAACGGGCTGGGTGATACCTGAGCGTGATCAGGTGTGATCTCGCTTCGGTCGGCAGTGGCAGGGATAACGGTGGGGGGCACTAAAGGCGTCGATGCAGATCTTGGATCAATTGGACGAGCGTGCAGGTGTGCAGTGCCGCACGAAGCAGACAGACAGGGCACCGTCGAACCGCGAACCGCAGGACCGGCACTGGCTGGCCTGCCCGCATGCCCGGGACTCTCGGGATGTCGTCCGGCGCGTCCGGGTTGTGTCCGGGTTGGGCGTGACATGGTCGAATCAGAGGCAGCGCCTTGCGGCGTAAACACCGGCAGCAAGTGCGGCAGTTCGCGCTACGGCTGCGGCAACGGCAACGGCAACCAGACGGGCAGGACAGCCAGGGCGGCCAGGACGGGCCACACGGCACGGCAAGTTGTATCGGGGTGTACGTGCTGAGCCCACCGGCGTCCCACCGGGCCGTTGCAGCGTGATCATTGGCCTGACATGCTGCGTTTGTTTACGCCCAACCGCGCCCAGCTGCGCCCAGCGGCAGCCCAGCCGATATGTCCTGTTGGGCAAGCATCTGCTTCTCCGCCGATAGGGCTTCTGTGTTGCGAGAGATCCGGTCGAGTATTTTTGGTATTGGGCTGCAATGCAATCTGATACGGCGCACGCCTACGCGCCTACGGATTTCCAGGGGCAGGCAAGGTGCGTGGCGCAGGATGTCTCAGTTGCTTGCAGTGCTGCTTTACCTGAGCCTCTGGGGTGTGTTTGGGTCACCGCACGCAGGCGCACAAGAGCGGGCCGCTGACACTCGAGTGCTTGGACAACCGCGAAACCAAGCGACCAGGTACACAGGCCCGGTACGGCGCACGTCACGGGTTCGCGCAGGTCGGACCAATGGCCTACTCGTCACTCGTCACTCCACCGGGATATAGACGATGCTGAGCGGTGTGGCTTGCTGCATTTCTTTCTGAGCTGTGATGGAAAGAACCTGGGTAGGGTGGACACGGCACTCTAGGTGAGAGGCTGAGGTCATGCCCTGTTGCAGGATGCAGGAGAGTGCCTGTCCTGGCCCTGGCGGACCTGGCGCTGCCCAATTACCACATCAGGCTACGTCACCGCACGTCCTCTGCACGCTCTGCAACCCAGCGGTTGCTTGGAATTAAGTCTATGAGCCCCTCTTGCATCACTTTTTGCACGCCTGAGCAAGCCTGAGCAAGCCTGAGCAATGCACACTGAGCACAGCGACCAAGCCACGACCAGGTCCCAGCTCTTTGCCAGCCCGCCAGCCCGCCAGCATTCACTTGACATGCCCCATCGAATCCATTCCGGGCTCCTGCCGCCCCTTGCTGATGCAATGCGTCTGTGATGAATAGAGGGGAGAGGGGGGGGAGCTGGGTGCCGAGCTGAGCGAGGTTGGCCCCCACTCTGCTCTGAGGCGTTGTGTGCCCAGCTCGCTCTCTCGCTCTCGCCTATGCCTGCGCCTCCGCGCGCCCAAGCACTTCCAAGACTCGACAGAGGCGAGCGCGAGGTGGGGAAGCGAGATGACTCCTGGCCACTCCTGGCACAATCTGAACCTTGTGTCGACCGTATGCCCATGCGTCTCGGGTCGCTTGCAGATCCTCGGATGCTCGGCAGCCCGTGTGCATTTACTTGCCAGCCCAGCCCAGAACGAGCCAAGCCAGCGCCATGAGCTCAGCCAGACACAAGGCGTGCATGAAAAATCTACCAAGCAGGTGGCTACCGCATTCGCATTCGCATCGCAATTGCAGTGTTTGGTTACCAGAAACAGCCTAGCACGATGTTTGCGTCTAATTTCCGCGCGTTTCCTGGTGTTTCCTCAAAAGCGTACGAGTACGACCGAGGAGCAAGGGGAAGCAGCGGGGGGGCGAGGGCAGGGTCAGGAGGGGGACGAGGGTAGTAATCGCAGTCAGGTTAGAGGACGCAGATAGCAATAGGGAATTTGTCCATTGGTCCGTTGACTCGGCGTAGTTGGTGAGTTGCTGGATAGCAATGCAGGAAGTTGAACGGCTCAGGGTGTGGATTCAGGGACGGAGTACGTCAGGATGATTCCTTGCTTTCCGCCCACGCCCGCGGAGAGGACGGAGGGAGGACGGAAATAGGCGCGAGGGGAGAGGATGGGCGCCTCGGAGGTCTCAGGGCGGCGAAAATGACCACAGGCACGGAAACTAAGTGTCGGCCGTTGGTGTCGTCAGCCCTGTCGCTCAGATTTTGCCTCGCCTCTTGCCCCCAGCCCACACTGACTGAGAACCCCGACCAGCCTCTTTCTGGTGCTGCTGCAGCTGCTGGCCCAAAAAATGCACGCCTGTATGTGCGGTCGGTCGGTCGGGCGCGGGGCGAGAGGGAGACCACCAGGCCCAGCGGCCCAACACGCAGGCTGCCAGGCAAGAGCGCGTCAGACTTCAGGATCGAGATGGAGCGGCCCATCGGGTCCACGGCGCAGGAGTCAAGGGCCCGCAGGCGCGCGAATGGATAGCTCAACTCTAGGACAAGGCAGGATTGCAGGATTAGGATGGGCCGTAGTGCAGATAGACGCAGGCTCTGGCTGCATGCTGCCGCTGCTCCGCCGCCGTCACCGCACACCCCGGTCGACCAACAATCCCAGGCAGGCAGCGATGCAGTCAGTCCTCCGTACGCCCGCCCGTATCCGTGGACCGCGGGCTCCCACCCCCCTCGAGGTTCCACCTGCTCACCAAGCATGCATGCAAAGCTTTGCTCCAGTTTGGCCGATTGCAGCGGGCACCACGTCTTACTTAACAGTCAGGCGCCCGCCCCCGTCACCCGTCTCTCAGCTATCTCTCCATTCCCTCTCCCCACCCACCCCCTCCCCCCCTCTCTCCTACATACAACCACCTGCTTAATACTTAATCCTCAACCAACGCCAACTACTGCACGTCCCACCTGTTGCAGTGAGGAATCCTACATATCCTATAGCCCCTTATAGCGCACGACCGCGCGACTATAGGCTCAATATTTGGTTGCCCCGGCCTCTTCGTGCGCTGACTGACAGTGGCGACATCTCGTTTACAGCTGGGCTGCGGTGAGGTATCAGATCAAGAACATCGATCTGCGATGGTAACAGCGCACACGCGGCCGGCCCAGCCGTTCAGTACTCGCTCAGGGCGTGGACTCACTGATGGCGTTTGACGTCTAATCTTGCGTGAAAAGACGGAGAAAGAAAATGGGGGAGAAAAGCGCCCCTCTCGGCCTGTGAGATAGCATGGTTCAGAAATGACGGCCTCACTCAAGACATGCAGTTCTCCGGGGATGGGATAACAGTATGAGACACAGACCGGCGATGATGTGCCGAGAGGCAAACAAGGCAGACGCAAAGTAGAAAACCTTATCGTTGCAGTTGCATTTTTCTAATCATCTTTCTGATACCTGCAGTAATTTTGATTGATAGGAGTGAACTTAAGGTCCTAAAGCGTCCTTTTGCTGGTTGACTCAGAGGAACGACGTAGGCTCGCTCCAACTCTCAAGGTGACGACACAACCTCGGTCTATCTTATCTCCACATACCTCGTGCGTCATGGGATCGACGGCGGCGGTCATGTGGTGCATGGGAGATTTGCGCTAGCCTAGAAACGGAAATGTCTCCGAGTGTCGGGTGTCTCGGCATACTTCCACAGGGAGTCCTCTCTCCCCGCCCCTGCCGCTGGCGCTCCCCCTGCCACTGAGGAGGAGCCCAAGAAGAAGCGCGAGTACAAGGGCTTCGAGGAGAAGCACGAAGGTGACAAGCATGTCAAGGTCGACATGAACACCGTGAGTACCACTACCCTCGTCATCGGGACGGCGGTTCCCCTCTTCGGTTTCCCACCGGGTTTATGCTTCAACTTTTGGGTTGACATCAAACCCGGGGTCACTTGACACAATGAGGAGCCATCGGACCCTGAATCTTCCGCACCTTTGGCACATCACGTGCTAACTCTTCCCGCAGATCAGCTTCACCGCTGCCGACCTTTACGACAAGGACAAGGTCGACATCGAGCACGTCGTCATGGAGGAGATGTTCCACCTCCTCCAGTGCGACGCCAACGGTCTCACCACTGCCCAGGCCGAGGAGCGTATCGGCATCTTCGGTCCCAACAAGCTCGAGGAGAAGTCTGAGAACGTCGTCCTCCAGTTCCTGTCCTTCATGTGGAACCCTCTCTCCTGGGTCATGGAGGGTGCCGCCCTCGTCGCTATTGCGATGTCCAACGGTGAGGGCAAGCCTCCTGACTGGCCCGACTTCGTCGGTATCGTTCTCCTTCTCTTCGTGAACTCGACCATCGGTTTCATCGAGGAGCGCAACGCTGGTAACGCTGTCAAGGCTCTTATGGACTCTCTTGCCCCCAAGGCTAAGGTTAAGCGTGACGGTGTCTGGAAGGAGGTTGAGTCTGCCGAGCTCGTTCCCGGAGACCTCGTTTCTTTCAAGCACGGTGACGTCTGCCCTGCCGACTCGCGTCTCATTGAGGCCGTTGATGTTTCCATGGACCAGGCTGCCCTTACCGGAGAGTCTCTTCCCGTCGGCAAGGACGAGGGTGACGAGTGCTTCTCTGGCTCTACCTGCAAGCAGGGTGAGGCTGAGGGTATCGTCATCTCCACTGGTCCCAACACCTTCTTCGGTCGCGCTGCTACCCTTGTCGGCCAGGATAACGACCAGGTCGGACACCTGCAGATGGTTCTCGCCCGCATTGGTTCCTTCTGTCTCGTCTCCATCGGTATCTTCGTCCTTCTCGAGATCCTCATTCTCTACGCCGACTTCCGTTACTCTTACCGCCGCGGTCTCGACAACATTCTTGTGCTCTTGATCGGTGGTATCCCCATTGCCATGCCTACTGTCCTCTCGGTTACCCTCGCCGTCGGTGCCCAGCAGCTCGCCAAGCACAAGGCTATCGTTACCCGTATCACTGCCATTGAGGAGCTTGCCGGTGTTACCATCCTCTGTTCCGACAAGACTGGTACTCTTACCACCAACAAGCTTACCATTGACAAGGAGAACGTCAAGTGCTACTCGCACTGGGACGTCGACGGAGTCTGTCTCCTCGCTGCCTACGCCTCGCGTACCGAGAACCAGGACGCCATTGACGGCTGTGTCGTCGGCACTCTTCCCAACCCCGCCATGGCTCGTGAGGGCATTGAGCTCCTTGACTTCAAGCCCTTCAACCCCGTTGACAAGCGTACCGAGATTACCTACCGTGACCTCCGTGACGGCGGCAAGCTTAAGCGTGTCACCAAGGGTATGACTGGTACTATTATCGACCTCTGCTCGCGCAACAAGACTTCCGAGCTTGAGGACCGTCTCGAGGCTGACGTCGAGGAGTTCGCTCTTCGTGGTCTCCGTGCCCTTGCTATCGCTTACGAGGATGTCGTCGGTGGTGACGCCCAGTCCCCCGGCAACGGCTTCGAGCTTGTTGGTCTCCTCTCCATCTTCGACCCTCCCCGTTCCGACACCAAGAAGACCATCGAGGACGCCCAGGACCTCGGTGTCGAGGTTAAGATGGTTACCGGTGACCAGCTCGCTATCGCCAAGGAGACCGGTCGTCGTCTCGGTCTCGGTGACCACATGTACCCCGCCAAGGTTCTCAAGGACGGCCCCGAGCCCGGCTCGAAGCACGCCAACCTCGACGAGATGATCATGGACGCCGATGGATTCGCTGGTGTGTTCCCCGAGCACAAGTTCGAGATTGTCAAGCGTATCCAGGCTCTCGGCCACCTCTGTGCCATGACTGGTGACGGTGCCAACGACGCCCCCGCTCTTTCGCGTGCCAACGTCGGTATCGCTGTCGAGGGTGCCACCGACGCTGCCCGTGGTGCTGCCGACATTGTCCTTACCGAGCCCGGTCTCTCTACCATCGTCCACGCCATCTACGGTTCCCGTGTCATCTTCCAGCGTATGCGTAACTACGCCATCTACGCTTGTGCCGTCACCATCCGTATCGTCGTTGGTTTCGCTATCATGGCCTTCGCTTGGAAGTTCGACTTCCCTCCCTTCATGGTCCTTGTCATTGCCGTGCTCAACGACGGTACTATCATGACTCTCTCGCTCGACCGTGTCCTTCCTTCGAAGACCCCCGACTCTTGGGACCTTGCCGAGGTCTTCTCGTTCGGTATCGCTTACGGTCTCTACCTCGCCGCCTCGACCATTGCTCTCTACGCTGTCATGAACGAGACCAACTGGTTCAACGACAAGTTCGGCGTCGAGCCCTACCGCAACAACGACTACGGCTCGCACATGGTTATCTACCTCCAGGTCGCTATCATCTCGCAGGCCCTCATCTTCGTTACCCGTTCGCACGGCCCCTCGTGGACTGAGCGTCCCTCGGTTGCTCTTATGGCTGCCTTCTGTATTGCCCAGCTCATCTCGTCCATCATTGCTGCCTACGGCAACTGGGGCTTCTCCCAGGTCCGTGCCATCTCTGGTGGATGGATCGGTATCGTTTGGGTCTGGAACATTGTCTGGTACATCCCTCTCGACCTGGTCAAGTTCGTCATGAAGAAGACCGTCATTGCCGCTCTCCAGAAGCGCAAGGCTGCCAAGGCTGCGGCTCCCCTCGTCGACGAGTCTGGCGAGCGCCTCCAGCGCACCGCCTCTCGCCACGAGTCGCTCTATTCGAACCGCACCAACTTCCTGTCGCGCGCTACCCGCCGCCTCAAGGGTGGAGCCAAGATCAACATCTCGAAGAACGAGCTCGAGCGCTTCTCCTCGATCCAGGCCCAGCAGTCTGGCGCCGCTCTCCAGCGTGCTGCTTCGCGCCATTAAGCAGCTCGCCCCCCTCCGCCTCTCGTACTATTTACCTCCTACTCCGATAGCTAGCCTGTAATTGTGTGCGACCATTTGCATCACATACCGCGCATTCCACCCTCATCTTGTCCCCTCCACACCTCCCCTCCCCCATCCCATCCCCTCCTGCTCGAGGCTGACCCCCGCCCGAGATAACACCTACCATACATCATCAACCAGGCTCAAACACTTTTTGCTTTTTTAATTGATTGAGCTAATCCCTATTAGCATTCATGATGCAAGTGGTCGGCTTAGAGAAAACCTTATCGTTGCAGTTGCATTTTTCTAATCATCTTTCTGATACCTGCAGTAATTTTGATTGATAGGAGTGAACTTAAGGTCCTAAAGCGTCCTTTTGCTGGTTGACTCAGAGGAACGACGTAGGCTCGCTCCAACTCTCAAGGTGACGACACAACCTCGGTCTATCTTATCTCCACATACCTCGTGCGTCATGGGATCGACGGCGGCGGTCATGTGGTGCATGGGAGATTTGCGCTAGCCTAGAAACGGAAATGTCTCCGAGTGTCGGGTGTCTCGGCATCGGGGGTCGTAAGTCTGCGAGCGAGACAGTGGGACAGCAAGCTGGAATGGAGAGGGTAAAAGTCTAGCGATATCTGCATTGCTACTGAGGCGTTCTTGGGCCAAGTTATTTTGACGACAGGCTCGGAATCTCGAGGGAGACGAGGGTCTGTAAGGGAGCTGACCTTTGGCAGTCACGAGCTGGACTTGCGGGGCTGATGCTGACAGGCAACGGCTCCTGATACATGCCGACCTCCGATCTTCTTGAGAACTCATCGCTGGGACGGAGAGACAGTGCCTGTTCCAGTCGTGCACGGCGGTCAATCTTCAGCAAAGAGAACGCAAATCGTTCTCTTCCTTGTCTCCGAGTTCTCCGAGTGCTGGCAGGACGTGGCCGCCTCGGGCTTCTCGGGCTGGGAGCGATGTGCGGCCCTCGCCCGGACTGAGGAAAGTTGATGATCGAGGGCCGCCGGCCGAGGGCAGAGCAGTGTGTGGGCGCAGGCACGTTCGTTCGCGCCGTGTACGGGGCGAGCTTACGCTACGACAGTACTCGGACGGTGACTTGCGCTGCTGAGGCGCAAAGCTTGCGGGGAGGAATCGGTTCATGGGTCTGGCTCAGCGGGAGCTAGAGTGGCACGGGCCAACCTTGTACCTGAACATAGGGGGGCGGAGCGATCTCGAGGCTATCGCAGTCCAACGGCAGAGTCGTCGGAGTTGGTCTCCGAGTTGATGGTCTCGTGCTCTGTCCCGGGTTCTGGTGCGCTGTCATGGATGTCGGCAGAGCCAGCCTGGAGAGTCTGGCAGCCCGGTACCTGGTAGAAGCGTCACTGCGTTGTGGGGTCCCTTGGCGACTTTGCTGATGCTACGCGTGAGTTGCTAACGATGACCGATCAAAGCATCCCAGCAAGCTGCTCTGGATTTGGGTATCCGATACTGATAGAGGCTCAACGTGTTCCAGCGGCTCGGGCGACCACTGCCTCCTGCTCGAGAAGCGGTACTCTGACCTGGGCACCGGCATCGGATCTCCACTCATTAGACGATGCCACAGGGGGCGCAAACTCTCCTGCCCCCGTCTTCCTGTCCTTCAAGAATGACAAACTTCGTCGGGAGATTGTCAAGGCCGTGTGCGGCGTCACCGACACAGTCCAGTTTCAGCTCCGGCACAGATTGCATGTGCCTATTTGGCATGAAAGCGGCTGAGCGTGCATTGCCAGTTGGCGGATACGCTGGTGCGAGTGCTCACGCGACGTCACTCTAAAGTACGGGACACTGGCCCGCGTGCGTGGCTGCCGGTTGCTGTTGGTCGCCGGATCGTACCGTCTCGGCAATCTCTGGCATGTCACTGAGGACAGATCCCCACCCTTCCACTTGTTCCTGGGCGTTTTGTCTGGCTTGCGACGACCGGAGTGCTGGTGCCAAGTGACTGGTGCAGTCTCGAGACAGAATTGAATGTATCGTGGCTAGGCGTGGAGGTCCATTCGCTGAAGTCACACTGCCAGTGCGGCAATGCGGCCCATGATCCTCTGCAGGAACGCTTGGGTGTTCTGGAAGGGAAGTAAACTAGGGGCAACGGTTAAGTCGAACGCCGCTGAACCGTCCGTTTCCTGATGGAGGACACTCGGCCCACAATGCTCATCAGTGCTTCAGCTTTGGACTGAGAGGACCGTCGATGCACATGTGCACCATGCCCAAACTAGAGGCTGCATGCATCAGCACAGAGGGAGATAAGCAAGCCCACATTCGTTCAACTCCCCATATCTTGTATGGTGCCTAATATTGTCTCACCAAACAGGCTCCTCTGCTGGCGAGTCGAACAAACGGAGTCATCTTTGGAAGCCTCTCTTATGATCAGCAAACATATCACAGCGTTCTAATCTTGCTATTCAGTGCTTGATACACGGTTTGTCAGGGATCATGAGCCTCGACAGCTTAGCTGACGTAGAAGCTCAGCAACTCAGCACTGTAAGTGTGCGGAGATTTCACCTTTGGCTTGCGTTCGACTTCGCCGTTGCCCCTAGTTTAGCTGCATCGCGAAACTTGTTGAGTCCCCGAACCGAGCTTCATGATTGCCTGGCGGGATGTCGATGTTTGTCTGATTCAGAGTCCCACGGATAAGAGTTGAGCATGGATGGCAAGCGTGAAGGTGGCAGCGAGCTGCACTGAGGAGAGCGCCTGGTTGTTGTCGAGGTGGCTGAGGGTAAGTGATGCTGACGTTCCGCCTGGGTTAGTTCTGCGGCGTTGCCTCTTTGCCCGGGCATGCCCAGGTTGACTGGGTAGTGAAGAGAACATAACCCTGGAAAGTAATTGGAGTTCGAAAGCGACCCAGATAGTCTGAATGGTGCTCGTTGCAAGCTGTGATCGAGGGTTATATTCGCCACACGTAGGTCCGAAGCGACAACGGCGGATAGTAGTCCGGTCTGAATTTCTGTTATGCCCTTACACCAGGTTTCGACCAGGGAGCAGACCTGATGTGAGTGGCTATTCAGCCAGAACAGCCGTGCGACGAGAGAACATCATCGGAGACGCACAGTCTCTGAACGTGACATCTCTTCGTGCGCTGACTGACAGTGGCGACATCTCGTTTACAGCTGGGCTGCGGTGAGGTATCAGATCAAGAACATCGATCTGCGATGGTAACAGCGCACACGCGGCCGGCCCAGCCGTTCAGTACTCGCTCAGGGCGTGGACTCACTGATGGCGTTTGACGTCTAATCTTGCGTGAAAAGACGGAGAAAGAAAATGGGGGAGAAAAGCGCCCCTCTCGGCCTGTGAGATAGCATGGTTCAGAAATGACGGCCTCACTCAAGACATGCAGTTCTCCGGGGATGGGATAACAGTATGAGACACAGACCGGCGATGATGTGCCGAGAGGCAAACAAGGCAGACGCAAAGTCCGCAAAATTCGACTTTTCTCTCCTCTCTCTTCCCCTGCAGAATGGCAAACGCTCTGGCAGCGACTTCCCCCAGTCTTCTACGTTTCGTGTTCCTCCCAGTACTGTGACACAATCACTATGCCCCGAGACGGCGAGGCAGCCCCAACCAACGCAACCGAGTGCCACTAATCGACCACGATGCTCCACCACAACGCTCGACACGAGCGCCCACGGCATCGCCGTACTCCGACTAGATGTCAACCCCGATAACAAGATGAGACCGAGATTGCCAAGCTTCTTCGGTGGCAGCGGCCTTGCCCGCGGTCTTCGCCACACCTGCCGCCTCCGTTGCCCCACCTTGCGATTTCACATGCGACGGCTGTCGGTGTCGGTGTCGGAGTCGCCGCGGCCTAGGACTTTGCGAGGAGTTGCCACGGGCCCCCAAGCGTCCCCCACTCTTATCTGATGCCCCGCAGTTGATTCCAGCACAAATAGACTCAAGATAATCACGGTGTGGCCGCGGGGGTAAGGTCGGGGATGGGCGAGAAAACGGCGAACCGGCGAATCCGCCCCATCCGCGGTATGTACAAGATATCTGAGGTATATAGAGGGTCATGTGCCCCCAAGACAGCCGGGTTTGTGGAGCGTCTAGACTATCGAGCTAAGGATCGACGGCAGCACCGGGAGTGGGTTCCGGATAAGGTGGTTTCTGGAGTCGGGTACGGGTGGAGCGCCACACACTCCCGCGGGGTATTCTCGGAATATCTATATCCACATCTGCCATTTGGGCAGCACTCCCTCACAGGGTGCTTTTACACATCCCCCACTGGAATAACGTAACCGAAGTCGAGCAAGCTCAGGTCTTGATCGCTGCGCACGGCTTTGCCACGGGATGGGTGGGCGAGCAGCTTCTCAGTGGCGACGAGCTAGCTGCCCGAAATTGTGACGCAGCATGTCGCACGACCAGGCATCTGGAGAGGATGTCGCTGAGCCGAGCGATGTTTCAGCAGATCGTCACTCTTAACGTTGCCCGCCTGAAGCCCGATCTCTTAGCCAAGGTCTGGGCTGGCCGCACGTATTCCCGCTCCAACAGCCCTCTCGCTGGAACTTGCTGAGGTCCACAGACCTTGTCGTGAGAGTCAGAAACCAAGGTGCACTGCTAAGGTTCAAATCAAGAGACATGCAATACCCGCGTAAAGTCCTCCTACAACGATTACAGATTACTATTTGGCCCCTATTGCTCTTGATTCTACTGAAACTTGACTTCTGAGCTCCTCTACGCCTTGCACGAAAAAGGCTTGCCGACGTCCACCTGGTTGTAGTAGTCTACGATGTCCTTGATCGAAGCGTACGTTCCCGCGACGAGGACGAAGAGGCCAATGGCAATAATGAAGCCGTTCACCAGAGTCAGGATGGTGTTCCTCCTAGTGCCGAAGCACGGTCCCTTGCGGACGAGCACGAACCACATCACACTCGGGCCATAGACAGTCGTGGCGGTGTTGAAGAGCGCTCCGACGAGACCAAGCAGCGCGTTGAAGCCCGGGATGACCTCGGAGACGAGCCACGAGAAGAGCGAGAGGGCGGCGATGATGGCGATCCAAATGGCCCAACCGCGCGCAGTGTTGACATAGCGAACAACGCTGTTCGGGTACATCTTGTCCATGATGAAGCGACCGTTCATAACGCAGAGCACGGCGCCGGAGATGAAGATGACGGGGAGAGCGAGGCCGAAAGCAATGCGCGCCATGGTGTGGCCAGCGGAGAGCAGGGCGGGGCTCTTAATGCCAGGTCCGACGAAAACGTATCCAAGAGCGCCGACGGAGGTGTGAATGCAAATCATGGTGATGCCGAGGGCGTAAATAGACTTGGGGTAGTCCTCGATGTTGGCCATCTCCTCCATGAAGGAGAACTGGCCGACATTGAAGGCGTAGGCGAAAATGGCGTTCGAGGCCGAGACAAGACCGCGCTCGAACGTCGTACCGGGCAGGGCAGTCGCCTTCCATCCCGTGTTCCAGTCCTTCTTGTGCGCGCTAATGCCGGTCGAAATGAGCGTGCAGAACACGGCGGACATGATGGACGCAAAGTCGACGTAGCCGAGCCACGAGATCTCGTTGAATGACGGCGGAAGCGAGAAGACGAACATGACGACGAGGGTCACCACACTCCAGACGACACCACAGATGGCCTGGTCGTCGACGATCGTCCGGAACGCGGCCTTGCCCGTGAGGTAGTGCGATCCGATGGCGAGACAGACGAAGAAGACGTAGGCGCAGGCCATGAACCGACTCAGGAACACTCCACCCTTCCCAGGGATGAGCACGCGACCAACGTCCGACCAGTGGTGCACTTGAGGGTATCTGATCTTGACCTGGCCGACAACGTAAGAGGTGTACACGGAGAGACAGCCCATCGATACACTGGTGATCGTTCCACCGATGATACCAAGAGTGGCGAAGACGCTGCGAGTTAGCTTATTGCTCGATGCGCAGAGGAGGGGAGATTGACTCACGAGGGCATGGACAGCGTTCCGAGCGCCACCGCCGAGACGAGCATGACGATGTATAGCCTCCACCATGAGAGCTTGTGGTACTTGCGCTCACCGTCCTCGATGAGGTCCACGATGTTGCGGACGCGGTCGACGTCGCGGTCATGGTGTCCGAGCTTGTGGTGGTGGTAGTTGCCTCCTTCGTGGACCTCGAGGACCTTTGCGATGGTCTCGTCCTTTGTCATGTGGGTGGGCTGTCGCTCAGGCTCATAGGGGATGGAGTCCTTCTCGTCGACGTCGACAACATCGCCCTTCGAAGTGTAGTAGTCCTTGCGATCCATGGTGGCCCGTGGGGTTAGTTGGGGTCAGTCGAGGAGTGGGCAACAGCAAACTCCAACACGTCCTTTTCAAGTCGTTCAGGTTGGATCGGTTGCAGCCGGTAATTACTGGAATTACGAGATATTAAGGGCACTCGACCGCTGCCCGCGTTCTCCAACGTCAGCTGTTGGCTCCAGCAAGCGGGACACCCCCACTCCGCGGCGGTACCGATAGTCGGTTTCCAATTAGAGATCTCCTTGCCAACACCACCCAGAAGTCTGGCACCTCCTGGGCTATCTCTCCCCGCGGGCGATTGGAGCTTAAACGAAGGTGGATGACAGGGAAGTAGTTATATCCGCCTTACCTGGGTGGACCCTCGGCGTCTAAGCGCGATCCACATCTCCACTCGCCCGTGGAATCTTGGCCACAATATCCGGAATTGCCGCGACATGCCGGTTTGGTCGATTTGGTTGCCCCGGCTGCCCCGCATCTATATCGGGCAGCATCATTCTCCACTTCTACGTTAGCTCGTCATCACCTACACACTCGACTGCAAACTGTCACATAAGCAGTCGGCAATCCCGCCACGAAGTCGTTCCCCAACCACTCGCACGAACAACTATGCCTAACAACGAGATCGAGACAACCACCATCGGCGACGGTGCCAATGCGCTAACCGTGCCGCGCCTGCTCACGGGCCTGTGGCAACTTGCTGGCGTCGAGGCCGACGATGGCAAGCTGAAGGAGCTTGCGTCCGGCCTGCAGCCGTACGTCAACTCTGGCCTGGCAGCGTTCGATATGGCTGACCGTGAGTTGCGTTCCTAGCTCAGCGCTGACGTTTATCAGATTACGGAGTGAGTTGACGAGGACGACGTGGGCTCGGCATTCCACCAAGCCACCGTCCACGCACGCCACCAGATCCTTATCTGACTCCAGCCTGCTGAGGAGGTCATCGGTGTGTACTCTGGGAAGCCGATCACGGCGTTCACGAAGTGGTGCCCCGACATCGGTCTCAAGGGCCCGGACGCATGCAAGGCGGCCATCGACCTGGCGTGCAAGCGTATGAACACCAAGTCCATCGACCTCATGCAGTACCACATCTGGCGCTACGACGACATCGGCTACATGTGAGTGTGTCCCACCCCGGCATGTGGCGCTAACGACAGGGAGAACCTGTACGAGCTCACGAAGATGCAGAAGGAGGGACGGATCAAGAACCTCGGTCTGACGAACGTCAACCTGGCGCACCTCCGCCTGCTCCACAGCACCGGCTTCAAGCTCGTCACAAACCAGCTCTCGATGAGTGTGCTCGACCGCCGCGCTGAGCTCGGCGGCATGGCTGAGTGGTGCGCTAAGAACGGCGTTAAGCTCCTCGCGTACGGCACGCTGCTCGGTGGTTTCCTTTCTGAGGGCTGGGTCGGCAAGCCTGAGCCCTCGGCGAAGGAGCTGGGAACGATGAGTTTGCAGAAGTACAAGCGCTTCATTGACGTTGCTGGTGAGTCTTTCTGCAATAAGGAGTGAGACGCTGACAGTAGGTGGCTGGGACGCCTTCCAGAAGGTCCTCGCCGCATGCGCGGAGGTCGCGAAGAAGCACAATGTCGCCATCCCCGCGGTGGCGACCCGCTACGTCCTGCAGCAGCAGGCCGTTGGGTGTGTCATCGTCGGCTCGCGACTCGACAACTCCGTCGCTCAGAAGTACATCGACCGCAACAAGGCTGTCTTCTCCTTCGAGCTCGATGACGCCGACATGAGGACGATTCGCGAAGCCCAGAAGGCGCTCAAGCCCATCCCCAACGACTGTGGTGACGAGTACCGCGTTCCGCCGTTCCTGACTGCCTCGGGCGACCTGGGCGACCACCTCGACCCGGCCGCTGAGCGCGAGCAGCTCGCTACGGTTGAGCGCATCGCGAATGCAGGCGGCAGGGTGCAGGTCTCCGGAGGAAGCAAGTACGAGCCGATCGCGGGTTACTGCCGCGCCGTGCGTGTCGGCAAGAAGATCAGTGTGTCGGGTACGACGACTCTTTCGCACCCGTCTGGAACTGGCGTGATCGGAGGCAAGTCGACTGGTGACCAGGCGACGTTCATTCTCGACATCATCTCCGGAGCCGTCCGTGCTCTCGGCGGATCAATGGCCGACGTCGTCCGCACGCGCGTCATGCTCACGGATGTCAAGAACTGGGAGCCGGTGTGCAAGGTTCACGCAGCCGCTTTCAAGCCGTTCGACGTCCGCCCCTCGAACACCATGGTTGGAGGTATCGACCTGATCGGCGACGGGCTCTTGGTCGAGATCGAGGCGGACGCCGAGCTGGGTGGCCAGAAGACGGATGTCCTGAACATCTAAGTGGCCTGTATCGTAGTTCTCGCTGGGGTAGGTAGCTATGCAGCAGTAATGGCAAGTAAACGAGGGCGAGGGAAGATACTCTCCGTGCAACGTGCAACAGAATGGCGTCTCGCACTCCTGCGGCGAAGTTGATGCGGCGGCACTTGGCGGCAACCAGCGGGGTGGCGACTCTGGCACGTGACTCACTGAAACTCAAGACGGCTACATGACGTCGAAGGCACCATCGTTGCTGCTGCTGCTCGAACTATTTCTACTTTCTCGCTTCGCCATGGCAGCCTATAGAGGCACGATCGTGGACACGCCGTTACCGGGAACATTGCGAGTCCGTCCTGACCATGTTATTGGTGAGTTACTTTCGCCCGAACCTCGTGCTCTCCAGCTGACCTCAGTCGTGGACGATGGCGGCAACGTCGTGAGGGTCACGAGGGCGGCAGCAACGCCCCCCGCCGTCCTGGAAGCAGCGCAGCGCCTGCCCCAGTACTCGTTCTTGCTGCCTGCATTCGCGGACCTGCACATCCATGCTCCGCAGTACCTCTATGCTGGAACGGGACTCGACCTTCCTCTCATGCAGTGGTTGGACACTTACACCTACGCCGCGGAGGAACGTGTTGACGCCGATCACGCATTGGCTAGCAGGCTGTATCAGCGTCTAGTCAAGAGGTTGATTCAAGCGGGAACCGGGTGCATTGTTGCATTCGGAACGATCGGTGTCCAAGCAAAGTAAGTGCGAGATTATCGAGTGCTTCAGACTCACCGGGGCCGAAAGCGGCTATGGTGTAGGCGGAGCTGAAGTGAGGTGTTGGTCCAAGCTAACTTCAGCTTGATCTTAGCACAAGCATGTGCCGACGCCGGACTGCGCGCTTTCATCGGCAAACTGAGCATGGACCAATCGCCGGTAAGTTGACAAGGGGCATCCTTAACTGATCCCAGCGCCCCACCTATGGCGAGACGCTCTCTGGCGCGCTCGACCGCGTACAAGAGTTCCTTGACGCAATGTCAGCTCTGAACTCGCCAATAGTCAAGCCGGTGTTGACGCCACGGTTCGTGCCGACGTGCAGCGACCTGCTGCTGCAGTCGCTGGCCGATATCGCCCGTGAACGCGGGGTGCTCATTCAGAGTCACATGTGCGAGAGTACGGACCAGGAGGCGTGGGTTCGCAGTACACGCGGGCGGAACGACGAGGAAGTCTTCGACTCGGCCGGTCTGCTCGGTCCTGGAACAGTGCAGGCGCATGTGACCGGGTTGGATGAGAAGATGATGCAGCTCGTGAAGGAGCGTGGCGTCACCGTAGCTCACTGTCCGTTGTCCAACGCTTATTTCTCAGATATGCCGTTCCCACTTCGAGAGTGAGTTGTATTGCGGCTGGGAAGCCTACGGTTGAAAGCTGACAGACAGGGCAATCGACGCCGGGCTGAAGATCGGCCTCGGCTCTGACATCGCCGGAGGCTATGCGCTTCCGATTCAAACTGCGATGCGAGAGGCAGTCGTCGTCGCACGTCTACGCGAGGGAGCGCGGCGAGAACATGCCCGCACGCAAGCCGGAGCATTGTCGCTTACCCCGCCGAACGCCGACCACCCTGATATGCCGGACGTGCCGAGCACGCCATTGGAGGCGATGCCAGGTATCGCGGATCCAGCGCTGGCTGATGCGCTGAAGGAGCCTGTCTCCGACACGTACTCGCGCGAAACGGCTAAGGCTCAAGAAGCACAGCAGGCTGGCCGCGAAGCTCCTTCGGAAGAGCCGGAGGAAGAAGATCGAGGTCTCCGCGTCGACTGGATCGAGTCGCTCTACCTCGCCACAGCAGGCGGGAAGAGCGCGCTCGGGTTCAAGGGCGTGTTCGAGCCCGGAGCAGAGTTTGACGCGCAGCTCAGTGAGTAACATGGAGAATGGTGTCGACAGGCAGCTGTTGGAACGCACGAGAGCTGACGACAGTTACGCTCGCCGAGCCAGATGGCGAGTCGGTAGGCCCCTTAGACCTGTTCGACCTGCCTCGGCATCCCGACACGCATTGGTGGACGGAAGCTGTGGAACGATGGTGGTGCATCGGCGACGACCGGAACAGGACCGCCGTCTGGGTCCAGGGGAGGAAGGTGATGTAACTTCTGTTGTATGCATGATATCCTGCTGAACGAGACGTAGTGAGCGGCCATCAGACTCATCGCAGCTCTCGACAGTCAAGAGGAGACAATGGCCAAATGATGCGAGGGAAGGCGTGAAGGGGATTGAACGCTCATCACACAGTCGCAGTGTCAGGCGTGCGCCCCTCGACACAACACACACACGCCGTTGTCCTCTCGCCCATCCCTTCTCCGCCCCCTTGCTCTTCCCCACTCGCCCAGCCCAGCACAGCTACACTCACAATATCACCCAGCTCCAATTCCTTTTTGCGATGTCCTTCATCCCACCGTAACCATGCCTGGGACGAGACATCAGGCAGCCCCGACGCCGCCACGACGCTCAGCCCGCGAGCGGCGGCAGATCACCTACCTCCACGCCATGGTGTCGACTGATCCCATGGCACAGATGACCCCAACCACGGCGTCTGCATCCCCAGCGCCAATGCCCCAGGCTCCAGCGGTGGACAGTGGCGAGGACGAGTCCGAACCTGAGTCGGTCAATGGAGACATTGGGGATACTGGGGACGAAGACAGCTTGGAGGATTACCTGGAGGTAAGCTGAAGCACTTGCAAGAAAGAGCTGACAGACAGTGGAGCGACCTTGAGCTTGATCCGGAGGTTGGAGAAGAGGAAGTTCACCGCCAGGTGGGCTGTGAACCGCGCGCGCTAGCTGACGACAGTCTCGCCATTCGCTGAAGTCGGGAAACTCAATCGGCGCTTCGCCCCCTACTTTGCGTCCACTACGCTTGCGGTGTGCCGTCGTGCTCGCGCCGCTGTCCGCCAGGGCAAGGAAGCAGGTGCGCTCTGTGGGCATCTCAGTGTTGAGCTGACAGACAGTACATCCCTCATGAGGTCAGCTTACCACCATGGTGAGATCTAGCTGACCCCCAGCCCGCGCGCGAGGAAGAGACAGAAGTAATCTAAACGTTTGCGCTACAGCTGATAGCCAGGGCAACTCGGACGAAGATCGGGAGGAGGTAAGCTGATATGGGGAGGGCGAGCTAGCTAACAGGCAGGTGGAGAAGAAGGGACAGGTGAGCTCGGCCTTCCTCGGCAAAGCTGACCGCAGACCACGGTGAGGACTTGCGAGAGCCTATGGCTATCTGTGCGCACATTCAGTTAACAGCAGGTGAGAACATTGGAACACTGGCCACTCGCTGTAAAGCTAACACCGGGCCAAGAGCATGGTGAGCGTAAGTGCATCAGCTGCGTCGGTTTTGCCCGTCAGCTGACGGCAGGCCGAGACAGATGTCAGTAATCAGCTCCGTTATGACTTCGTAAGCTAAAGGTAGGCAACTAAGCCTTGCAGCCCGCACCAGCTGGGAAATCTGAGGTCCAGGAGCTAACGGCAGGGTCTCCAGACCTCAACCCGGCGAATTGTCAGCGAAGCAGGCGTCAGCCGGAACCCGGACTATCACCAGGCGGTCACCGGATCCGATGGGTCTTCATCGGAGGCGGGTGTGCGTACCTTCACAGCTCGACTACGTTTGCAAGAGCTGACTCACAGGCGATGTCTACACCCACGCCAAAGGCTAGGCGGTCGAAGGTAAGGAGGCATTATCTGGAACCGCCAGCTTATTGCGGGACGAGCGCAAGCTCAAGTCTTACTCGGCTTCTTCGTCGAGCAAAGCAGTCCGTTGAGTGGCTCCTCAGCTCACGTAACCTCCGGATACTAGCTGAAATCAGACCAAGCGCAGTGCCAGGTCATCCCGGCCGACTTTCGATTCGATCGAGAGTGAGGTCCCCAGGCAGACACGCTCGGCGGCCAAAGAATCAGTGAGCTTCAGTCACCTGGACCACGAGCTGACAGCCAGAGCAACTCTCGACGTTCTACACTCAGCACGCCTCCCCCGCGCTTGGAGAACTGGTTTGATCTTGAATCGTCACGGGAGCCAGAAACTGACCTGATGCCACCACCGCCGTCACCACCGTCTCAGCCCCGCATCAAGCGGCCCATGGGCGTGAACTGGCCGCGCAAAGCTGTCCGCAGTCCGACTTCGAGCTCCACCGGATCTGACCTTGACAAAGCCCAGGGAGCTCAGGGCACTCAGGTGTTTGTCGGGGTCGGCGGGGAAGAGGCAGAGTCTGAGTATGAGTCCTCTGAAGAAGAGGAAGAGCCAATCGAAGACGTTGGGTCTGACTATGCGCCGTCCGACAGTGGGGAGGGCAGGTCAGAGTGCCGGGAGGTAAGCTAATCGATCGGGTAACTAGCTGATGTCCAGCCCCGAGGCAGTTCATCGTCTGGCAAGGCAGCCAGCACCTCAAGGTCCGGTCGCGAGAGTCCAGTCGGAGCCGACGTTGATCTGGTAGGCTGGCAAGAGGATCTTTGGGAGCTAAACAGCAGAACCCAGAAGGCAGCCGTCAGGGCAGAGTTTCTCCATCCGTGAGCTGTGTAGGCCAAGTGGAGCTGACCGTCAGGGCAAGTCTCACTCGCCGGTCGACGCCGCGTCAGATGTGCGTGACTGCGATGCTCTGATCTCCCTCGGTCTGCTAACGAACAGGCCCCAGATGATCACCCCGAAGCAGACGTCAGGCTGAAACTCGAGACCAGGCTGCAACGGTCCACAGTGAGCTACCTCATGCACGGGAATTCAAGCTAACACATCAGGCCTCAGCAACTTCCAAGAAGAGAGGCCGGGTGAGCTTCGCGATGGCCATAAGCTGACATCCAGACGGCCAAGTCCGGCTCTGAGCTCGAGGATGGAGGCAGCGACAGTGGAGAGCCCAGCCCGAAGAAGCAGACACGCGGCCGCGTGAGCTGATCGTTGTATGTGATTAATAGCTTACTCCCAGGCGAAAAGCAACTCTGCGAAGAGCGACGGCACTCCGCGAAAGCTTGCGCCCCCACAGCGCGTCACGGCCACCGTCCGCGCAGCGATCATCAGCGCGATGAAGAAACCCGAGTTCACGGGCAAGCTTGGATTCACCATTGAGGGCGTCACCGCAGACAAGGCAAAGCGACACTGGCGCGAGGTGCTTTCGGGTGACATTCTGCGTGAGTTGTCCTCAAGCTCTCTTTCTCTCACACAGCTTGAGATGTCCTGAAACGGTTATCAAGCTGACAGTCAGGCATGATCGACGGCTCGGGTGCGAAGGAGAAGTCTCGCGCGAAGGGGAAGCACACACTCACCCAGTTCCAGCGCCGGTGCATCTGGCGCTCCGTCTTGAAAGTTGCCGACAAGCTGGACTGGAGGGCTATTTCGGAGGAGAGCGGTATCGATGTGGGCAAGCTGAAGCGCCATCTGAGGGAGGTGCTGTCGAAGGATGTCGAGAAAATGCTTGCGTGAGCGTGGTGGGCTCACGCTCAGTCAAAGTTGATATCGCGCAGCTACTTGCCAACCCTGTTTCTATAGCCGTATGCACAATCATGACAGAGCCGGAACCTCCCCGCGAAGGTCATACGGCCTCGAATGGCCATAACATCGCCACATATGAGTTGTCGTAGCCATGAACACTGTGCATCTCCGTTCTGTATTCCTTGCGCCACACAGGCGAGTGGGTCACGTGGTCTCACTGACACGCCCTCCTCCCCTCACCTCTCAGGTGTGAGCAGATCGACAGGGCCTCGTGTCCCCCAGGTCGACGTCGTCTCGACTCTTCGAGAACGTCACTGAATGTAACACAGACATTGTCTGCCATGCAAAGTGAGTGCCCAGGCAGGAGCGAGCTGGGCGGGGCAACGTCGGCTGACCCATTCTGGGCTGGGCCCAGACCATTGTCCCAGCCCATCGATCTACGGTCCGTGCGCCGACATTGACATCCCACGTGTCTGTGATCGAACGGTGTGTGCAGACGACGCAGAGGTCTGGCCAGCTGGCCAGCCTGCAGCCTGGGACGCAATCTGTTTCGCATCTCTCGTCATGCACCCTCTTTCAGGCCTTCAGCCGTCCACAGATCCTCCAGGTCGACTAGTCCGCATAGTCACCTCTTGGCAGGTGGTGCTTTGGGCGACTTCATTGCTGAAGATGGGTCGAGACGAGCCGCAGCTCGGATATGCATAGGCTATGTACAAGCGTTGAGTAACAGTGCCAGCGAGAAGGCATTATTGCCTCATGCCGCGCCGATGTGCGGAGCACGCGGAGTGTACGTCACGGGACGGAGGGCGTCCAGGGCCTTCTCCTACGCATCACGGCAAGGACAGTCTGCATCCGAAGTCGCAGCGCCGGGATATCGGCACCTCTGAAGCTCTGGCACGTCCTCCGAGCAGCAGAGTGTACAGTAGTGCAGAGCGAGCGCTACAGTTCCAGCTCAAACCAGCCCTACAGTTGCCAGACGAACTGGAGGGTCAGTGCTGAGCTGGCCGAGCTGGCCGAGCTGGCAGAGGAACACTGCAAAGCAACAGGGCTCGATCGAGGGTGATCGAACTGCCCTCCCTAAAACGTCCCCGGCGAATGGGACGTAGGGCGCGTAGGGGACGCCCGTGGCGTGCTCTCTTTTCCTCTTTCCAAATGATCGCCCTTTTGACTGCAGTGAATGCAGCGTCGAGCGAAGAGCCCACTCTGCCACTTTCTTTCGTGGCACAGTTTCTCCGTCGTGTCCGTCTTGCGTTACAGCTCTCCCCTCTTCTAGTCTGTACACGTGAAGAGCGAAGCTTTGCGAAGGATTGTGTTTTTCGGAACCTATCGTCCGCAGTTCCTCATTTCCATCGCACCAAGGCAGAAGTGGAGCATGGAGCAAAGCATGTGAGCATGCGTCAGATACTTGCAGAGGTGAAACTTGCACTGCCTCTTCGTCATGCCCGTCATGCCTCCCACGTCTCCGCACGAAAAGCAGGCTCGTATAAGGGAGTCAGTGTGCAAAACCCTTGCCTCTTCCGCGGCCCTGGGGGTCTGGGTGGCAGCATGTGACTTGCTGCGTACCCTGCCGAAGATGGCCGTTTCCAGCAAACCCGACGCACAGTGTGCAGAACAGGGTCAGTCACCCCCTGCGTCAACGATGCCATGCTGCAAGCGCGCCGCGAGCTGGCTCGTTTCGATCATGCTGCTCCCTCTCTCCTCCGTGACTGTCCTCCACTACATAATGCATAGTTTGCTCTGAAAGAAGCCCAGCTGCGCGCTTAGTTGTTCCAAGTCACGGCGGTGTAGAATACACATGCGTGCACGCATGCTTGATACGCTTACCGGTCTTTGCCTTGCGGCCTGGCAGTCGTGCCCGTCGCAAGAGTTCCTTCCAGGCACATTCATACTTCTCCAGTGACGCAGAACAGAGCCGTGATCAGCGCGACGTGTACACGGATATGAGAAGGACATCGCTGGCTAGTCACGTAATCCATGCAGATTCTTCTTCTTCTCGCTGACTCGGTGTACCTCGAGGAACACAGAAGAGTAGTGCATTGCCGGCTCGGCGGTCCGACTCTGTCGACTAGTCACGCCTAACCAGCCTAGCCCCCATGTGATGCAGTTGATGTCGTTTGGACTGCGCCTGGACTCTGGCTGCTTGAAATGTATTGTCGGCGGCTGTTTGGATGCATTGAGTGCGCTTGGAGGGAGCATAATTCTTTCCTCTGCTCGCTGTTCACTGCACGGCAGAACATCAGCCTCGCAGGAACCGGTTGGAACGGCAAGCATGGCACGCAGCTGACTACGATTATATCTGCCTGGCACGAGATCAGATCGCCCCGCCGCGCCTGCGCCCACTCTGAGCCACCCACCACTGCGGTGGCCGTGGCTTGGAAGGGGGACGGAGCCGGCCGATACATGGCGTCTTGTGGTTGTTTGTGCAAATTTGAATGCATGGATGGAAAGAGATGAGAAGGAGGCGTAGAAGGCAGAAGCGTGTAGAGGAGTGTGCTAGAGTAGATGAGCGGCACGGTAGTGGTGTTGCCCCTGAAGCATCATGATGACCCTTTGAGTCGTGTGTGTGCCCTTAGGGAATCATCCTCGGGTGGTGTGCCTCGACTATGAACACTCTCCCCGCCATCGATTTCAGTGGTGGACCCTTTGCCCCTCCCCCTGCCTACGCTCTATTCGACCAGCCCAGCCAGCCCAGCCAGCCCAGCCAGCCTACCCAGCATCCAACCACCAGCCAGCGGCCACGGCCCTCACTCCAGCCCGCACGCTCTCCTCGCTCACCACCACGTCCTTCCTCGACCCCGAATCCGACCCCGCACACACACATCTCTCTCCACCTGACCTCCTTCACACCCTCACCACCAACCCCCTTACTACTCCCTTGTGCACTACTCGTCATCGACAACCAAGCTTCTTGTCTTCTCTTTCCCCCCCTTCACCCACCCC